GATCGAACGTTTCCCACACAAGAGCAAAGGGAAAAATGTCCTGCTCTTAATTAAATGCATACTTGAGCCAAAAATAGATTTAAGAACAGGATGTGGCTTTTAAAAGTGTGAGAAAGTATTTCGTTTAGAATAATTAATTAGGATGAAGTTTTATAGCGAAGAAACTAACATAAAAAGATTAATTGAAGCTTTTTATGTTACATATATATATATGCATACATATATATTTATATTGAATAATAGCAAGAAAGATCATAAGTCTTGAGAAGTTGAAATAAAAATGCTAAGTGGCATTTGAGTAAACTCATGTTAAATTTTATAATTTAAGTAAAACTAGAAAGTCCCCTTTTCAAACACATGAGGATTGCTAAAGCAAATATTTTATTAGCATTTCTCACTTTAAGACTTAACACTAATTAAGATGACAAAATAAAATTGTAAGTTAAAATTACCTTGGTTGCTACTTTCAAGAGAAATATCAATAGGACATGGAATGTTATCTACATGTTCTTCGGCAATTTCAAAGGACAAATTGTCAGGAGGCATAACACAATCATTTGGCATACAGAAACTTATGATATTTGCTTTGTTTTCCTCTGGTTCAATTTTTACTTGATCTAATTAAAAGAAAGTAATTAAATAGAAAAATAATTAATCAGGGTAAAAAAAAAGTTTTTGAGCTTCAAAAAATAAAACCTTATGGAGAAAAAAATCAAACATTTCACTTGGAGCTTCATATATTTTAAAGAAATAATATTTATAAGAACATATATAAGAAATACCATTAATAATTTATTAAATAATAATACAAAAATAACTATTCAACAGTTTTAACTGCAAAAATAAAACTGCATAAAGCTATAAAGTATATTTAGCAGCAAAAAAAGTTGTTTCTAATTTGATTTTGTGTTCTAAGAATTTGTTTTTATATTTAATAACAAATTTACAAATATGATGAGTAAGCAGACATAATAAAAATAAAATACATATAAGACACAATTTCAGATTTATATTTTAAAATCTATGTCCTTTTCAATTTAAAAAAATTTTAAAAAATGCAATCGCTTGAAATTCTAATATAAAACAAAATATCAGCTTGTCCTTGAAAAATAGTTAAAAGAAAATCTCCCAAGATCAGATAATTACACTGTGAGATGAACTAAATAGTTAATGAAAATAGTTAATTTAAAAAGGGCTTGCAGTTAAATTAAGAAATTATTTTATCTTTAACTTTTATACCTAATTTTTTTTATTAAAAAAAGAAGAATTAGAAGAAATCACTTAAAATTTTAACAACAAAAGCAGAAATCAATACATATCCCCATTAAAAATAATTAAATGATTTTAAATATGACAACTAGTTAACAGCAAACAAAAATTATTTAATTGAAGTAATAGTTATTGTGAAATCTAGAAAAGAAATCTAAACACTAATAAAACAAAGAACTTTAAAATTTATAGTCAGTTTCTATTTCTCACTAGAGGCAATGAGAAAAATTTCTTTAATCTTACAAGTTAATCAATGTAATTATTTATAAGAATTTACCAACACAAATTTTGCAGTGCTAGACTAATAAAACAATTTTTAGCAAGGCTTAATTCTTCTTGCAAAAAAAATTCAATGCCATATCGCATATAAGAACTAAGTTATTACTTAAAGGCCCACCTTGATTAGGAGTACCTATAACAACTTATGAATGAATGGTGAAATGGTTTAAATGTACAACACTTAGCTATATTTCCCTCGCTGGAGCAATGAAAACAACTCGTAAAAAGGAAGATGGTACTATTCACTGATATTCTGTTTCAAATAATGTATGGCAAAACTTCTTTAATTCATCTATATTGAATTATATTCTTTAACAAACTCGATAAAATATCTCTTTTAAATGTTTTAATGTCGATAAAATATCTCTTTTAAATACATTAAAAGGTTACTTTTAAACTTAATGAAAGAAAAACAATAAAGCCATAAGAGCAAATAAGAGAAAATAATTCTTAAGCCAAATGTAATAAAAACAAACTTTATTTTAACATTATATTTACAAACTTTTAAACTTAAACACATATTTACATAAGAAATCCACATTAATAAAAGATTACCACAATCACTCTTTGTAAAATTTCAAATTCAATACAAATATAATAAAAAAAATATGTGCAGTTAATAATGTAAGAATTGTGTGAAATGCACACATAAAATTTCAAAGAAATGCCCACTAGTCTGACATTTATAGAAGTAACATCATCTGTACAATAAGTAGAATGAAGATGAATACAATTGTATTAAAAAAAATTATTCAAGTTGTAACAAGAAAGGCCATGGTGGCTCAAGGGATAGAGTTCTCACTTCCCAATGAGGTGACCTAGGTTCAAAACTCAGAGTTGGCTGATTGGTATGAATTCCACTCCAAGCTCTGACCGACCACATTGCCGACATTAAATATCCTCAGAGGTAGATGGATAAGTTGGACTGCCCTTGCCGACAGGCTAAAAGTAAAAGGCTTTCATGGTTTTTCTCTCCATGTAATGCAAATGCAGGTATGTTCCATCAAAATGCTTCCATGAAGGCTAGTTTGATCCAAGAGTTTCCCTGTCTTCTGGATTGAGTTTAAGATACAAGGCTAAGGACGGTACAAGCCCTTACCGTCCAAAGCCCTTACCGTCCAAGCCCTTACCGTCCAAGCCCTTGCCGACAGGCTAAAAGTAAAAGGCTTTCATGGTTTTTCTCTCCATGTAACGCAAATGCAGGTATGTTCCATCAAAATGCTTCCATGAAGGCTAGTTTGATCCAAGAGTTTCCCTGTCATCTGGACTGAGTTTAAGATACAAGGCTAAGAAGTTGAACCTTGTTAATCGTAAACTCAGAATTTGGTTGGGTGTTCAACGACGGTCATAAAATAAAATAAAAAGTTGTAAAAAAAAGTGAATATAGGGAAAACTTTATCTATGACACAGAAGGAACTGACTAGAATTTTATTCATTTGATAATATTATAACATAATTGATTATATAATTTGATTATATGATGATTTACAATTCATCATATATGCTGATAGGGTCAAAAATATATCTCTGTGGTGATTATAAATTTTCTATCTAATTATATTAAATTAAATGTCTACCCAATTAGATTAAATTAGATTATCTATTAATAATAATGTTTAAGTAATGTGATTAATGTTATAATTATTTTCATTGAAAAGAATAAAGCAATTTTTATTTCACTTTATTATACTATGCTGAACAATTTTCTACTGTTAGGAAATCAGGTATTAAAATCTGCAGTAGTCGATACCTTCAGATAAAAATTTATTTTTACATGGGGCAAAGAGAAAAATAAATTACAAACAAAAATTTTACAAAAAACATAAATTTAAAAAATATCAGAATAAGTTAAAAATAAATTTTTAACACACAAAAGCTTTACTTTTACATTGTTTCATACTATTTAGTTTTTATAGATAACGAAATTCTCATAAAAGTATTCATAATTGTAATATAACTTTTTAAGTGAAAGAGGATAATTTTTGAAATATGGTTTTAAAAATGGCTACTTCATATCTGATAACACATATATTATGTATCTAAGCATATAAATTATGTTTTTATGTTATGTATTTATATTATGTATATATCATGTATAAAGTATTCTGTTAACTTTATTACCCCTAAAAGTAATAAAGAAAAAAATTCCTATCAGAAAATTTCTGGAGATTTAAAGTTTATTCTTGCTATAATTAAGAAAATTATAGTTACATAATAACAAAAAAGATATATAATTAAACATTAAATAGAGAACATTAGTTATCAAAGAAAATGTTTTTAAAAACATGATGAGAAGCATCATACATCAACTAAATAATTTTAGATGCAAAAACATACTAAGTTTTAGAATAGAAAATTATTGCTATCTGTAATATATTTGCTTTGACTCAAAAGCTATTTTCTTTTATATGGAGTCATATCTGATTTAAAACGAGCAGTTGGGTGTCTCATAATAAGATGTCTTTTTAAATTGGAAATAGTTGATTTTGAACTTAATACTGCACCACAATATAGGCATCTTGATGTAAATTTATCAATTTTTGAAAAATGATCCCACACTTCACTTGGTTGTCTCCTGTTGTTTTCTAAAAAAAAGTTAAGAAAAATATTCTTATTTTTTTTAAAATATAAGCTCAAAATAAAGAATAATACAAGAGAATAACAAATAAAAATTTTAACTTTCTTGTCTCCTTGTAAATAAAAGAATTTTACAGAATGTTTCTTCTCTATGCATCATTTCTCAATGTAAAAATCTGATTTGCTTTGCAGAAAAATACAGGTCAAAAGACAAGATTCTACATGCATTGTATCGATTGTTAAGTCTAATGACATAAGAGTCAGATTAACTCTGATAATCTCATTCGATTCAGTACATAAGTTATAATATCTCACTAATGTAGATAAACCAGAGATTGCAATGTCAAAAATGTAAATAACTATAAGTATAAATAAAGGTCCTTTTGCACATAAAACCCCTTGCAACTTCAAAATAATTAGTCCTATGGACTTATTATGGTGTTAAGCATCATTTTATTCAGGATGAAAAATACAGAGGAAATAATACTTTGCCAGTCTAGATAGCAAAGTCAGATAAGTAAATAGGTACATTTCAAGCTTAGTCTTTTTTACATAAAGCCATTCTAATTTCAAAACTATAAGGCTTGAATTTGGTTCTATTGGATTCAGTGTTAAGGGAATGCACCAGAAACAATATCTCAGTTTTTTAGTTAGCAATATTTGCTTTTTTCTTCATGTAGGCATTTGGTGTGCAATACCACTTACTAATCAGATCGCACTTAACAGTTTCTTGCTAGGTAGAGCTTAATTTTTAAATTAAGTTTACATTTAATTTTTTCTGCACACAGAAACAAAAACAATGCTTTCAAAGGACGTGCAGCCATTTTATTTTTTATTTATTTATTAATGCATTAAAATGTAGAATCTCTTAATAAGTCTCTGTAGTCTAACATGGCATCAAGTTTTTATTTATTTTTTGGGACAATAAATTAAATATACTTAGAGATACAAAAAAAATTTAGAAGTTAAAAAAATTACAATCAAAACATAGCTATAATTAGAACAATAAAAGATGTTTTGAAACGGATAAATAAGATTAATTTTTTTATTTTTATTTTTTTCATTTTCATTTCTATAATAACCACATTATTCCACCCAATTTTATTAAACTTTAACACCTATTAAATAAGTCTAATGATTAGGAGCTGAAGAGGAAAAAAGAAAATTAAATATGAAACATACATTTCATAGAAACACACACAAATTGAGGTTTCACAGTAAATAACTCAATTATGTTTTAAAAAAAATAATCATTAAATTAATCAAAACAAAATCAATTCTGTTCATAAAGATTTGCCAATTCTGTGGTAATGAAATTACATTTTTGAGCAAGTTTGTGAATTATAAGAAATACTAAAAATTATTACGAAATAACTTTAAGTTTCAATAATTTAAAATCTATAAAGCACAGTTAGAGAAATTAAAAGGTTCAATTGTTTTAATTTTCAATTAAACTGATTTTTTTTAAATGCTTGGTAATGAAATTACAGGAAATGGTCATAGACAAAAGTGTTGTTTGATAAAATCTATATTCCGATAAATCTTATATCAATATTTTCTATATCAAGAAGACTCATAAAACATCATATATTAAAAAAAATTCACATAATTAATAACTTTAAGTATAATTAATGTAGCTATAATGAAATTACAATGATAGTAACAGAATTACAATTTTTAAATCTAGTAGAAAATTAAAATTACTTTGGACAAAGCTAGCAGTAGGATCTGTAGTGATTTCAAGAAAAACATTAGTAGGTTGTTGTACATTCTTCAATTGATCTTGAGGTAGAGTGGAATAATCACATTCAACAAGAGAATAGGTCATGTTTTCTCCTTTTGGTTCCTTTTGGTCTAACAAGATAAAAAAAAAAGTATTATACATCTATCAACACTTTGTCAAAGCAGTATGTAAATTGTAAAAGGAACTATAAAATTCATGCTTAAATTAATACAGAAAAAAATACAGTATACACAGAATTAGAAATTTTGATTTTTTTTCCCCACTAACATATGATATAGACTTTTTAAAAAATCAATAGAGTTTACCAAAAACGTTAAAAAATATTTATGAAAAAAAACTCAACATATATTTTAGTGTATATTAGTATTAACAAAAATTTCACAAAATATCTCCAAAAAATTTTTCCAATTTTTAAAGAATTAGAAAAATTTCTTTAATTTTTAAGCTATTCATATGGAAGTTAATACAGAAAAGTATTTTTACGCAAACAAAAACCCAAATGCAAATTTTAGATTAAGAAAACAAATTTAAAACAGCATAAATTTTAAAATTTTAACACATTTTTCATTAAAAGTAAAATTCTTAATTCAAAAATTTTGGGGCAAAGTTTATACTAAAAGTTATGAAATCATGTCACATAATGAAAAAATAAAGCATAAAATGAATTACCAATTTTGATCAGTAAATGGGAAATGCACTTTAAATTATTACCAATGGTTTCTCATACTGGAACACATTTTTAATTCTTCTATTAAACACTGAATTAAAATTAGTTATTAAATGAGGAAAAATTAAGCTAAAAAAATACTAATAGTGTGTTAACAGTCCAAAAGAGTTAGAATTATTATGCCAAAGGCAGAGAACACAATAACATTTAATAAATTCATACTTTTATTTCACAGTAAAAATGTATCATAGTAATATTTACATTATAATTATATGAGAAGAGTAATAAGCCAATATTACAATGAAAAAAATATTGTTAAAAACATCAAATGAAGCCAAAAGTAAAGCATTGTTTCAAAGGAAATCACAAATCAAAATAATAGTTAAAATGCAATTAAATTGATCAACTAATTTAAAAAGAATTATATTTAAAAGGAATGCATCATTTTAACAAGCAGTTAGAGAACAAATCAATATCAAATGAGTTATAAAATTAATATTTATACTACATTTTTAACTAAAGGTATAATTTTAAAAAAAGATAAGGTAAAAAAAATGCTTGTATATTTTATATAAAATGCTTGAATATATACATTTGAATTTTAACGAATTAAATTTATGTCTCGCTGATAAAATTACTCGCATTAGAGCAGTGGTAGTCAACATTTGGGTGTTCCAGATTTCTTAATGGTACTGAAATAGGCAGCAATTAAAGCACTTTTCTATGCTATAAATTAACAACTTAAAAGCACTGAAATGGATTTTTTTTTTTAATTATTAACTAAGAAAACTTTCATTACATTACTTTTAAAAACAAATAATGACATTTTTGTAAAATTTTTGGGGGCTAATATTTTGTAAGGCACCTTTGAATTAAAATGTAAAATAATACAAATCATTGCACGCAGTCTCAAGATACACGCTAAAAAGCGCTCAATGGGTATGACGTTTGCCTTTGAATGAGGTGAAGCGGGTTCGAATCCCAACAATGGTAGACAATGAATTCCACACCCGCCTCACATCAGTCACAGTGCTGATACAAAATATCTTCAAGTGTAGAGGGATCATGGATTAGAATCCACTTACCATCAGGCTAACGATGGGAGGTTTTTGTGGCTTTCCTCTCCATGTAACGAAAATGCGGGTTAGTTCAATCAAAAATTGCTCCACAAAGGCAAATTTCTCCCAATATTTGATTCAGGAGTTCCCTTGTCTTCTGGATTGGGTACATAATTACAAAGATACGAAGTTGAACATTAAAAGTTGTAAACCCAAAATTGGATCGTCTGTTCAACGAAAGTTATAAAATAAAATACATCATTCCAAAGCATAGCAACCAAGCTGTGCTCTTACTAAATTAGACAAATCAAGACAGTAGTTAGATTAATATTTTTAACTGTTTTTTATTGTTTACCTAAAGTTACTTACTTACTTTATAGATCACATTACTATGGAACTAGTATACAAAATGCAAGAATGAGCAATGAGTAGAAAAAGGTTGACTACCCTGCCTTAGAATTCTTTGTAAATTACACTTACAAATTGTTTTGCTATATCTTAATCTAATGAGGAAATTAAATTTATAAAAATATTGATTTGATGATAGGTTATATAATAATACGATTAGAATGTTTAGGCATTAAGGCGTTAGACATACAAAAAAAATTTTGAATTATTATATAAAAATACTATACTAAAATAAAAAATCCACAGAATAAATTATTGAAAAGCCTTGGCAAAATTTTTTACAAAAATAACACATCAAGTACAAAAAAAATAAGTAATTTGAAAATTATAAATTCCAATTGAAGTTTTTATAAAAAATATGCTGTGAATTAATTAATATACAGGAAAATTAGTTTTACAAATGAATAAATAAAATTGAAAAAAGCATAGATAACAACAAACGAAATGCATTTTTTTAAATATAACAAAAATGTGTTTTGTACTTATTTTTGTGTATATTTTGGTACCCCAAAATAATAACCATTGTTTGTCCCTTTTCTGCATTCAGTTACATTTTAATATCTTATATTTAATCAACTGCTAAAAAAAATAAGCATTTGCACATTGTGAGATAAAAATGAAAATACTTTCTGAATCAGCAAAATATACATATAAATAACAATAAATAATCCGACAATAATATTGCCTCATAAAGAAAAAATTTATGATTGTATTCAAAACAGATTTTATGATTGTATTCAAAACAGATATCTAGAAATTATTAAAAATTCCAATTTAAAAAAACTATAATACTTAATGGATTCTTCCTATTGAAAACACATTTTTTACAAAATTTTAAAAAAGCTTCAAGAAAGAACATGCTAAATAAAATACTCAAATTGTTATGTTTAAAAACATATAAAGTATTGAGCATTAACTCATTCTCTTGAGTCTCTAATTAAGGCAGTTTTCAACAGAAAATAATAATTTATACATGTTTACATATATTCTGAAGTTAAACTGCACATACTCACTAAAATATCACATCAGATATCCTTCAACTAAAATTCTCACATTTATTTGAGATTTTTTTATTCATTAAACCAGATTAACAGAAATTAACAAGGCCACAGTGAAGAGCTACATGATACTTCAAAGTGTCTCTTTGGGTGAAACCTTTTTTACATATTGGGCATACATAAGGTCTTTCACCAGTATGTACAACTTGATGCCTTTTTAAATGGCTTTTATTAGGAGTTTTATAAGCACACAAAGAACAAGTGTAATATGTAACTCCTCCAAGCTTAGAACATTCAATTTCTTTAAATACATTCCAGTCTAAAAAAAAAAAATATGTGATAAGCAAAAAAGAAATAAATTGTACTGAAAGAAAGTTAGATATTTATTATTACAATAAAAATACACAAAATATTTAAAAAAATGGAAGAAAAAAAGATCAAATTTGAAAACATCAGTAAAAAAAGACAAATAGAAAATTTTGATAATCCTCACAATTTATTTACTTGTTATTATTTTATTTTTTTTTACATTTTTAAGTTATTCTTTTATGCCAAATGTTAATTCACATCTTTTTCAATTTCATAATAATTCATGTGTGTGAAAAAGTGAATGATTCCATTTCCTAAGTTTCCCTTTTAAAAAGGCTAGAAACTAAATACTTATTACATAAGACAAATTACTAAATCCACAAAAAACTTTATACATTTTGTAAAAAAAAAAAAAAAAAAAAATTATCACCAAAAAGTATCACAACAGGTATTTTTTTTTAAAAAAAACAGTGAATGTATAAAAATAGGACTGCAATTCCTGTCTGCATGTTTTTATTATAATGTTTAAAAATTATTTTACCACTGAGAGGAATACAAATTTATGTAAAATACCAGAGTATGCAAAATGCCAGCAAACTTAAATTAAAATGTACAAAAATTAAATATCACAAGCAAATACAGTAAAAAAAAATTAAACTATTTCCTTAAAGACCAAAAAAATATTTAATTAAATAAAAAGGCAATATAGTGTAGAACTGAAAATGATAACTATTAAACCTATAGTAAGTAACTATATGCATATTGAAGTTAGTCCTGACTATTACAACTTAAAGAGAAATTCAATATTTTTTCTTCAAATTATTAATAATTTCTTGCACAAATATTAAGTTTGGTATCGTGAAACTTTAAAAAAGTACCAATTTAAAGTTGAGATAATTTTCTTTTACTTAACAGGTTATGTTATTACATAAACTTACAAACCTTTTAATATTACAAGCCCTTTCATTACCAATAATATTTAACTATGATACAATAAAACATAAAATAAAACTTTATCTTTAATGGAGTGAAGTGGCGCCAAAAGGCACAACGTTCCAGAACCTTTGAGTTAGGTGAAACTTTATTCCGGAATTTTAATGAACATATTACTAATTTCCACTTTACAATTTTAACTTTTTTTTATTAAAATAAATTTTAAGCAAAATCTCCTCATTATGCTTACTAAATAAAGGCTAAATTTGTTAATCTGTTAAGTGTGAAAAGAATTATGCAAGATTAAGATAATTAGTCAATTTCAAAATTAGCCATCCATATAACCATACATTTCTACTTTTAAAATATTGATTATGATATTTCATTCTTATAACTGTTTTTAGGAATATGAGTTGATAAAGAGAAAAACAATAACTCAGTATGAAAATTTTTAAATATGTTTAAAATAGTATGATGTAAAGGTTTTATTAATCAATAACACAGGGAAGAAAAAAAATTTGTTGCAGTTATAGAAATACTTGATCTTTCCTAATTGTGATGTGGAGATTTGAAATCTGAAATTAATTTTGCATCTAAAGCTAGTAAATTATTCTTAAAGCGACATTTTTTGGTCCATTTTCTGTACAAATTTACAAAATTAAAAACGTTACAGACAACTGGATCTGATATAAATAACAGATCTTAGATATTTTTGTATTACTGATTTTAAATCTGCAAACGGTTTCTCTCTCCAAATTACAGTTTTTTAAATGATATTTTTAGTCTAATTTTTGACAAAATGTACAAATTTAAAAACGGTATATATAACAAGGTGTCGCATAAATGTTGCTACAAACTTTTAGGGAAGTTAGGGCACATCAATAGTACAAAAATTGCATAGTAACTTTTGCCAGGAAATATTGTGTTTGGGGCACTTCTCTATTATCAACAGTTCATAATAGAGAAGCGCCCCTAACGGTCTATGGTGACATTTCTGGGTATGGGGTCCAATGAAATTTTAATCAAGATGATGTGCAATAACTCCCCTAGAAATCTGTCACATTTACATGACGTTACGGTATATGTAAAATTTCTAATCTTAGACATTTTGACAAAAAACAGACTAAAAATGTCATTTTTAAAAAAAATCTGTCGCTTTGAAAGAGAAACCGATTGAAGATTTGAAATGGGCAATACAAAAGTGTTTAAGATCTATTCAAAATTCTCATTCAACACAAAATAAAATGAAAATTTGCTACCAGTGTAATTAATAAATCTATCCTATATATTGTGAATCAATTTTCAAGAAAAAGGTAAAGCAGCTTGAATTGTTTTTCGGAAAATGGTTGGGCAAATTATATAGACTACAGTAAAATAGAAATAAGGAAACTTAAGCTTAAAAAAAAATCTTACTCAACTTGGAATGATTTGATAACTGTTGACCAAAAATTATCTTAGAAAATTTTAGATACCACCCTCCCTCTCTATAGTATATGTGTGGTGAATTGCTTTCCGTAAAACAAATTTAACCATTACAAAACTGCTGAATACAATGTAAACAATTAAATCATTATAAGTAAAAAATAAATAAGAAATATAATATACACTTAAGAACATTCAGAGCTTTCAAAGGGAACTTTAATTGCTATTTTTTCAAATTAAACACAGACAAATTAAAGGGTACTTGCAGAAAATTAAAACCAAATAAGTAATATAAATTTGATTACATAATATTCAATTATTTATTTATGAATATATTTTTAAAGTTATTTCTGATACACGTGAGTTAACATATGGGACTTTAAAGAAGCCTTTTGAGTAAAAGATTTCCCACATAAATAACATGAAAAAGGACGAACACCGGTGTGAACAACAAAATGCCTCTTCAAATGGCTTTTCCAAGGTGTAGTAAAGTTGCACATTGAACAAGTATGAGTAACACTAGCACTATTTGTACCAAGGCTTTTCTGAGAAACTAATCCTATTTCGCCTGCAAAAATACATAAGAATAATATGAATTAACAATATATAGCAGGACATTTGTATTTAAACATATAGAAAATCTATATAGTAATAATACAAAACAAAATTAATGTACTGAAATAATTTTTAAACTGAAAAAAATGTCATTTGTATTAAACAGTTATAAGAAATCACCAATATTTCTAAGTGATTTCAACATAATTTATTATTAAATAAAGTAAAAAGAAAAATTGTATTTCAAGTTGCATGATTGATTTAAATTTTTTCATAATGATAAAAATAAAAAAGTTGCAAAATTAAGTTTAATTAAAAAAGAATTGATAATTTAATAATAGTCACACATAGTCAGACAAAAATACACCTGATTCATAAATTATGATGCATTAAATAATGATGCATAAATTTAGACTTAAACATCCTCTCTTGAAATTGTTGTATCAAAATAATAATTCTGAAAACAAAATTCATAAATTTGCAAGCAAATATTTTACTTATTTATCTCTTCTAAAATTTATTGCAAAGCAATACGATAAAACCAGAGCAATGACCATTTAATTTCAACAGTTTTATGCCAAGGATTAAAAATTTTCAAGCTTATAAAATTTGAAAACATAATTTTTAATTTAGACCAACCCTTTAAAACTAATCTATTAATTCAAATCGGCATACAATAAAAAAAACTATTTACTTTTAAAAACTCTCTTATTAAAAAACAATGATTATTGCTAAGTAAAACTCAGATTTCTGTGCTTTAAAACTTATTATGGAAGACATGTAATAGATACATATATTTGATAGAAAGTTAAAGCACAAGTTAATTACTGTAACTCATTGTATTGACATTTGTATTGTTCTTGTGAAAATTACAGTTTGTAACATGAATTAAAATTAATTTGTTTAAAGAATTTTTTAAAAAAAAATTGATAGAGACTAATTTATTAATGTGTTAAAGTCTATAACGGATCAGGAATCAACAACTTTAACCACAAGCAAATTGCAAACAGATTTTAAATTAACTTCTTTAAGCTCATTTTTAATAATACGTGTAAAAGAATTTATTCAGATAAAATTCGTAATAAATAAATAAATTTTGCGAAATAACAAACGCAACCATAACAAACATATAATAGTTTTGTTTACAAAAACGTTTCTGGCTTCCTATTTCTGTTTAATTAAAATCGTGTCTAAACCCATAAAAGAAAAATCTATTGGCGATCGCAGCGCTCGAATACGCCCTGGGGAGAGACCGGTTTCATGCCTTTGGCTCTTCTCCCTTTCCTCTCCTCCTCTCTTCAGTTGTATAGGAATGCACGCACATTTTCCTTTTTCTAAATATTTTTCCTTTATAAAAATATTTTTTAAAATTTCCATGATGCTTTACTTTAGAACAATGTTTAATGTAGTTTTCAGTTCCATATAAGTTTTCAACTTAAAATATTTTAATCTATATGAAAATCAAGAGAGAAACTAATGCACTTCCTTCCTCTAAGACTCTCCACGCGCTAATGAGGAAAGCATGCGAAGTGTTGCCATAGGTAGAGAGTTTTGCTCTACGCCACCTGCATCCCATTTCGATTGACAATTGTTAAGAAAAAAAATACTTTGACTGGAATAAAATGATTCTGAGTTACTTTTAGAGTTTCTTTTCGAACCATCGAAAAAACAAGGAAAATTCGTACTTTGTAATGAGCCAACACCTAACACTAGCCTGAATATGTAAGTGTAACAATGATTAAATGAAGTAAACAACAGGTATTGAGTGTTAATGATCAGTGCTTGCTTTAAGAGCCATTCTATCGGCATGCTGATAACGCACCTCCGATCATCGTCAGGGAGATGAGCTTTTTCTCTCGGTGCCGATGTAATTTTTTTCACGAGCAAAAAAAAAAGTATGCGAATGAGGGCCTGATTAGTGAACTATGTTGGGAAAATATTGGTGGATCTCACCAATCAGATTTTTATTTGGAAACAGTGAGAATAGTCCCTAAGGGGAAAAAGTAGTTTTTCTTAAGGCCTTTATCTCTCTCTCGCCTTTAAGACTTTTTATTTATTGATCTAATACAGTGGATTAAATAAAATTTAGCATCATACAACGTGAAAATCTATGAAGTCAGACACGAACCATTACATCGGATCCCCATTACTCCTACCAAATTCGATAGCACTGCCCACAAGGAGAAAACACAATGTTATCAGATACAAGTGCTCTTGCTAGTCAGAAAAATATTGAAATTTGGATTGCGAAATCCCATTTCAATATTTTTCGTTCAATACATCCCATTTCAATATACATCGCTCGTCCGTAAGCGAGTCAACAAAGACAGATTAAAAAACATATGTTTATGTTTTAATAATATAAATAAGTATTTACATTACAAAATAACCAAAAATATCAATTTTTCAAGTTATCTTATGATTATGCATCATTTTTTTTATCAGCAATTTATCATTATTACTTTATTAAAAATGCACACTTAAAAAGAAACGCGCATCTTTAAATTACTTGGCATTGATTTTTGTAGATTTTCATTTATTATATTTTCCGCTAGACCGCTAGTGCAAACGCGCCANAATGTTGTATTTAATTATTGAAATTTGATTATTTGAATGCCCTTACGGAGTGGCAAAAACTACAAATATTTAACATGAATGAAAAAAACGCTAAAAGCAATACAAAAAATTCTGTAAATGAATTGAATGATAATTTACAAAAATTAAGTATGGATCAAAATGTACAGGATAAACCAGACATACTAATCTTTGAGCCTGACATTGGTGTTCAACTCACAGCCTGGCTCAAACATTTCGAAAAACTAACTATCGATACTAAATTAAATGACGATTGGAAAGTAAAAAATTTTCAAAAGTTCATTAGAGGTTCAGCTTCGAAATTGTATATTAATAACTGCCTTAATTGTAATTCATATCAAGAAATAGTCGAAATTTTTCAAGAACATTATTTTTCACCTCCCTTTGGCTTTAACGATTTTCAAAATTTAAAATTTTCTGGCCATGCTAAAGACCTAAATTCATATTTTACTGAAAAGGTAGAGTTAGGTCGAAAAATAAATTTAAGTAATGATAATTGAGGGTCTGTCTATAGGTTTGCCTCCCCAAATTAAAACACTTTTGGTTTTAAAAGAACCTAAAACCCAAATTGAATGGCTCACAATTGTTTCAAAAATAATACATGATGTACCTACGGTCTTACCACAAACTGAAACTAAACAAAAATTACCAGAATCCAAATTTAATGGGTATGGGCCACAATATCAAGGCTGGATACCAAGGCGGCCATTCATTAACAACTCAGGTAATCCAAATTATAATCCTCGAAAAAATCAAAATTTTTCCCGACCAAGTCAAAGTTGTAACCAACAATCCCAATTTAGACCTAGAATTCAAAATGAAAAGTTTCATAAAAATAAACAACAAACTAGTCATTTCGCCCAGGCATCCCAGGAGTTACCTCCTAAGCCATGTAAATACTGTGATAAGCTTGGTATAACCAATGCTTATCATTGGGGCCAAAATTGTATAAACAAACGTAATATTTTTACAGCTGAGAATCAAACTCAGTCTGATCAAGAAAGTGACCAACTTCAAAATTGTCAATGAATAGTATCCGGATACACTCAAAAAAAAAATAATGAAAGGGACAAATACCCGATAGTGACTAAGAAAACTATGTTGTTAATGTTGTTAAATACTAATACAGGTAGTACTTTAAAAAATAAACCCAACAAATATTTTCGAAAAAGTATATGTCCAAAAAGAATGAAAAAGATATAAATGAAAAAAAAAAAGAAATTTGCAAATTAGCCAAACTGGCACTTCAGATTAATAATAAGGAAAATAGCTAGGTCAGTCAAATTTAAAAATAAAATAATAAAAGATCTTTATTTAAATTTATGCACAGTTGGGCCAAAAATAGATTTAGAAACAGGATGTAGCTTTTAAAAGTGTGAGAAAGTATTTCGATTTGAATAATTAATTAGTAATAAAGTAGGAGTTGTTTTATAGCAAAGAAACTAACATAAAAAGATTAATAGAAGCTTTTTATGTTACATCCCCCCTCGCCGAAAAGTTTTGACTAATATCTAAAAAAATTTAAAATTATCCCTTTGCAAAACTTTCCCTGTGATTACACAATTAAAATAAAAAGAATTAAATTGCAATGTTAACAAGATATAAAGTAACATGCATTATAAAAATTACACATTAATACACAAAGTTAAAAAAAATTTTTTTTTTTAAAGTGTTCGAGGAAGAAAAAAAAAATTGAAGTAAAGCTACCATCAAATTGAAGTGTTAGATCTTCATTTTCAATAGATTTTTCAGTTCTTCTTGATAATCACAGTAAATAAAATTATTCCTCATACTAACACAATTAAAATAAACTTTTCACTTAAGACAAGAAAATCTATAAAAATTTTCTAAAAGATGTAAATATATTAATATTCAACAACATGAAAGATTAAAAAAAATATTAAAATGTAAGTGATATGAGATATAAAAATACAAATTGACACTTTTTATCAAAAAAAATTTCAATATAAAATGTAAAAAAAATTGACACAATAGTCCTTAATCTGAAGTTTAAGACTTCAGTATTTTTATTTCAATGAGAGAATAAAAAGTTTGACACTTGGTCTTTAATCTGAAGTTTAGACTTCAGTGTTATTAGGGGAAATTTTTTTGCTGGATTAGGGGCTGTATTCCCCAAAAGGAGGAAAACAGTCCCTAGTCTCAACAATAATGTGCTGGAAGATCCTAGTTTCAACAGATGCTTAAGTATTCATTTTTTTGGTTTTCACCACAGAGAAAAACTACCATCGCCCCATCTTTCTAGATTGGGTAAACGTTGAACTTGAAGAAGAAAATTTGAAAGGTCGGATCTTCCAGAAAAAAAAAAGGGACCACATGTTCCATTAAACTATGTGAAATGTTGTCATATTCGGTGTTTTTAATTTTATTTTAACAATGAAAAATCATTAAATTTAATAATATAAAAAATATATATTATTTATTCTATTATTTAAACTATTACTGGTTTTTTATTCGTGACATAATTTCAGTTTGTCAGGTGGGTGGTGCCTTCACAATTTTGATACATGAACTATTTCTGTATTTTCTTTATTATGAATATTCTTTTTATTTATTTTATAATTAACATCAGAAATTTTTTCAAGAATTCTATATGGACCAGAAAATGTTGGGGTAAGTTTCCTAGCATTGGGGTATTTAAAATCTTCATACATGACAGTATCATTAGGGGGAAATTCAATATGGGTAAATCTTGCATCATAATAAATTTTATTTTTTTAATGATAATGTTTAGTTCTTTCAACTGCAATTTTTCTTGCTTCTTCTATTGGTGGAAAAATTTCTTCAGATAAAGGATGATTAAATGGAAGACTGCCAAACATTAAATAAGCTGGGGGAAATTTAGTTACCGAATGTGGAGTTAAATTATATTCTTCAGTTACTTCTTTTTTTTATGCCCAAATTTTTATTTTGTTCCTTTCTTTTTGTTTTTCTTAGATTTGAATTTTTTTTTCTTTTCTATCTACTTTCTTTTTTGGTTTTCTTTTATTGGTATTTTTGTTGCAATCATTAACCTGGATTTCAGGAGAAATGTGTAAAGACAAGTTTCTTTTATAATCCGAAAAAGTGATCAGTTTTCTCTGATTTTGCAATACAACTTGTTTATCACAATCAATCACAAATTTAAACCCATTACATTCCTTTAAACCCAATATGGCATAAGGTAGATCAGTATTTAAAATATAAAATTCCACTGACCTAGCTATTTTTCCAATTTTTAAATTTAAAGTACAAGTTTGGTCAAGTTGCAAAATACCTTTTGTTTGTTTTACATTAACAAAGTTCTTTCTTTCTTTTTGGACATTAAGTTTTTCAAAAAGTTTAGTTGGGATGATATTTAAAGTACTACCTGTATCAATATTTAACAGGATAGTTTTATTTGTCANTACAAGAGTAAACGTAATGCCAAGAAGGAATGGTCGAAGACGACTACATGCCCACACTACAGCTAACAGTTCTAATTTGCTTGAGTGGTAGTTCTCTTCATCGGGAGAA